ATGTGATCACCATTTGCAACCTTTCCAGCCAGCTTCTGACCAGCAAAGTTAATGAGGAAGCCAGGTTTGCTTAATGACCACATGATTAATTTAACTGCAACAATTCACCTAACAGTGCCAAAAATGTTGCAAAACCAGGCACAATTCACTTAAGAACTGCCTTGCTTAGCAACATAAATTCTGGCCTCAATTGTGGTCATAAGTCAAGGACTACCTCTATTAATCTTGCAAAGGATAGTGTTTGCCTCGCAATTCAGTGCCACTTAAAAAAGTATGATTGATTTTCAAATGGAGCTGTATCAATTCCAAAATTATTTTTCAAACTGGAGAATCAGCTAAGTGGAGACATTTATTGCAAGTACCAAAGCCAACTAACTTGGTCTCCTGTTGTTCCTTATTCTGCAAACACACAAACACATGCTTGATTTATGTTCTTTCTCACAGACTATTCACAAAGACATAAAGCTAAGCAGCTGTTTAAATTTTTGCTCCATCTTTGCCTTTTGTTCCAGTATTTAACAATAATCACTACCACCACCAGTTGGGTAGCTTCAAAGCTTTAAGCAAGAAAGAGGGGAAAAGGAAAAAGAAAAAAAAAATCAAAGCTTTTCTAAAACTAAAAGAGCTGCAACTATTTTGAATGATTCATGAACCATAATATCCATCCACATGTTAGTAAAGAGTGACCATATCAACCAATCTGGATCAACACATCAGCAAAGAAATAATTCTTCACAGTCCAGATCTGTTTGCCCTATTTATTTATTACAAAAAAGCTCTGAACTCTGTTGCTATCTGTCATGCTTCTATGAAGGTTCTCTATTATGAAATCCTGCTGGAGGATGGAAGGCTTTGTTCATAAAATCAACAAAATAAGCATCAAGCTTTGATGTTATTTCTTCAATCACATTCATTTTTTCTATCAGTATTTCTTCCAAGAAGCTCTGAGAACATTCAGTTAAGGTAATGTTCAAAGAAGGCAATATGTTGTGATCGAATACAACTTTCAGATTCTAAGCAGAATGAAGAACAGTATAAAAATGTGTTAAATGCATAAATACAACCACAGAAAAGATAATCAAATCAGTCATAGTCTAATTCAGCCCAGTTCTCATCTCTTCCAGGATCCAATTAGCATTGTATAATTGGCTCTGTTTATATGCTGAAATTAATAAAAGAGAAGTCTGCCTTCAATTCTTGATCTTGGGAACTGGCAAACCTAATGAATCTTTCAGAGTATGCCTATTAGTAACCTGGGTAAACTATGTTTACATTTATTTTTTAGCATAATGAGCAAACCAGGTCACTATGTATTGTTCAGCAAAACATACTTAATCAAATCCTGGTTTAGCATCTTGTATAAATTTAGCCAAAATAATGCTCAGTACAAAGCCTCAGAAGCTTGCTGAGCCCCATAACCCTCAGTTAAAAGTTAATTTTTGTAACTATAAAAAGTCTGATTTCTTTGCACCATCAAGGCAGAGAAGCAAGTGGCAGCATTTATAGGGACTTAAGTAGTTATGCCTCCAAGTAGCAATAGCGTTTAGGCTGATATACCGCCCCATAGCACTTTAGAGCAGTCTCTGGGTAGTTCACAATGTTGAAACATTATTTGCATATTGCCCCCAACAATCTGGGTCTTCATTTTACTGACCTCGGAAAGATGGAAGGCTGAATCAACTTTGAGCCCCAATGGGATAGAGTTCCAGGCTGGGGGCAGAGTTTGCTTGCAATACTGCACTTTAACCACTGCACTAACAGGGCTCTGCTGTGCTGTGCTGCCTCATTGTGGCAGGTGTGTGTTCCCAAGAAGGATGAGTGAAAAACATCAGGAATCTTAAGCTAAAAGTATATATTCCCAGTAGGATCACCTGAGGTCAACCTAATACTGTGGAACAGCAATATAGGGAGATCTTGGAGGCAGATGATCACTTTAGTGACAATGGCAAAAGGCATCAATGGATATTGTTTGGAGAAGGTAATAATAAAGCACTGTAATTTTTACAAGAAAACCATATAGATAGAAAAATCTAAAATGATTGAGAATATGATGTTAGATGATGGGCCCTTCAGGTCAGATGGCATTCAGCATAAACTCAATATGAGCATGAATTCCACATGAACTCATCAGAACCAGTTTGGTGTAGTAGTTAAGGTGCTGGACTAGAAACCAGATGACTGTGAGTTCTAATCCCATCTTAGGTATAAAAGCCGGCTTGGTGAGCTTGGGACAATCACTCTCTCTCAGCCTAATTCACCTCACAGGGTTATTGTAGGGAAAATAGGAGGAGGACAGAGTATTAGATATGTTCACCACTTGAGTTATTTATAAAAAACAAGAAGAGTGCGACAAAAACTTAGATAGATAGATAGATAGATAGATAGATAGATAGATAGATAGATAGATAGATATAGAGATACATAGATATAGATATCATGGTATTGAGGAAGAACTGAGGATCTTTTGGAGTACTAGTGGTATTCATGAGGTGGCTAGATGAATGCCTTTGTTATTGATGTCGCCATATGGGAAAAGATAATCCAAAGCTGCAAAGATGGAATTACAATAGGAGCATAAAACATAGCAAATATGAACACGGGAAAGCTCAAAACAGTCAAATGAAACAACTATGTCTTAGGCATCAGGGAATTGAGATGAAAGGGATCAGGCACTGATCAATCAGAATCAAACAGTTCAAACAGGATCAGTCAGAAGTCAGAAGTTTATTACTTAGGATAAGAAAAACAAAACAGAAATTGAAAAAGGCAATCCCTGAGTAGGTGGCAACTGTTACCTTGAATTGCTCCGAGAAACAAACAGGTAACGAATATAGCTCAGGCAGAATTAGGATTATGTGTGCGGTATATCTGGCACTGTTACCCGCACAACCGTATTCTGCCCGAGTTGAAGTTTCCAAATGCTCTTCAGGAGCAACCTATGTAGAGTGTGTTGCAATAGTCTAAACAAGAGGTTACAAGGGGATGAGTTTATCACCCATCTTTTTCCAAGTGCAGGAAAAGAAAGGCTAGTATTGCTTTTGTCATTATGGTAACATTATTTACTTCATACTAAAGCTAAAACGATTAATTTAAAATGAACTGTACTTTTCATAAAAACCTTCTACTCAAAGAAAATATGATAGGTTCCCCACAGTTACAGTTAGAGCCAAATGAAGTGCAAAGCATTAATGTGCTTGACTAATTGTATGACTTCCTGGCATTGTGAGGAAAGCAAGCATGCATGGACACTTCTATTTTAAAAAACAACAACAGGATCAGTATGGCACAGAACTGCATCAATGTGCTTGCAAAAGGAGTGCCCTGCATACATTGTTGGAAAGGGGAAGGAGCCCCTGAATGACAAGCTGTAAAAACATACTTGTAAAGCTTAGAAAAGGCTTTAAGGGACAAAGTTATGTGCCTCGGGCACTCACAGAGTTTGCCACTGAAAAGCTCCAGAGAAAAAAGACGGCTACTTCTTATTGCAATCCGTGATCCAGGCAGCATTCACCTTCTAACCTGCAACTCACAAGGAAAACAAAATATTTAATATTGATTTCGTTCACTCTTTCTACTCCTGGATACTTTAACAGTGCATTTGGCCTTCAGTGATAATTTCCTCTTTTCTTTCCTCATTTTTCATCCCCTGACCTATATACTCTGGAGTAGAATAGTGAAGAAAAATCAAATGCAAGACTTAAAACAGGGGTCCCCAACCCCCGATCTGTGAACCGGCACTAATTTGCAGCATGCCAGAAACCGGGCTGCACAAACAAGCAAAGTCCTATCTGCAGGATGCAGGCAGCGAGCAAAACCGCACCCCCTCCGATCCATGGAAAAACCTCTCTCCACAGAACTGATCCCTGGTGCTCAAAAGGTTGGGGGCCCGCTGACTTAAAGAGAACTTCAAATACACAAAAGTGCTTTCTGAGCCCAGCAACCTGATTTAATCAATTTAGGCATAATCATTTTGAATCTTGGGCATCTAATCCAGTTGCATATTTAAATATATGTGCAATTCTTTAAATTCTTGATGTACTCTGCAGCAAGAGTTTCATTAGGAATACAGAAACACACAGAGACAAACACTTTCTCTCTTGCATTCGTTGCATCTAATGCATTCTTTTCCTTTATTTTCCTTCATAAAACTGCCAGATAAGATCCTGTATTTTCATTCTATTGTATCTTTCTTGTTCAAGATATGGTCTTTTGGTGACCTGGGAATTATGAATGCTTTCACGTTAATGATTCAGTCTTGAGACGGATGGCCAAGTAGCTGGGGAAAAGTTACGACATGCAAAGATTCAGAGGAGACAACGTTTGTCCAAAGCTGCATAAAAGAAATTAGTTTGTTATGCAGCAGTGAGAGTTGAGGAACATAACCGGAAGTTCATGGTGTAGCAGGAATGGGATAATTAAGAAAGAAATATATGTGATAAGAGAAGAATGAATGATGATGGAACACAAAAGTGGATGACCAGTATGAAAGAAGCACATTCAGATGATTTAATCATACAGAAGAGCTGAACAAGGATTGGACTATAAAACAAATATATGAAAGAAGAGAGAACAGAATGAGAGGAAGAGAAATACAAAAAAAGTCACGGTTGGATAGAGTTGATGAAATTCTTAAAAAAAAATAATAACAAGAAATTTAAAGAACAAAAGGCCAATACAAAGTGGAATATGATATATGATAAAGTGGAATATGATATATGATAGTGTTTACATAAACTATATTAAGGTATATTTCTTTTCTCTTACCTTTAATTTCTTTTGCTTGCTACTACTTAACCTTTGTACATGGCATCTTGGTGGTGGGTATGTATGTAACCTGCTTGCTGTACTGAGGATTTATGTCTCCTTTTTCTGAACATTTGTGAGGGAAGCAGTTATTGTAGTATACATATATTCAAATAAAAATAATTCCAAATATGTGAATGCTGCACCAAACATGCTTAAGTTCTTATCTTTCTATAAAGAAAAAAAAAACATTTTACTTTTCAAGTAAACCATTTATTTTATACACACATTTTTACAAATGCCAATCAGACAGAACTTCTATGTACACTGTTAATACATCCAAAAACTTTCAAAATATTCTTCTCTGTTATTCAGAATCCATAAAGAATGTTTCAAAGTCTTGATCTAAGTCTGAAACAAGGGCATCCACAAAATCTTCCACTGATGGTTGCTTCTGTAGCATACCTAGGAAATATCAAAGGGAGATACTCAAAACTAACTGAATGTTGCTTCTAAACACCTGATAAAAATTAACCATAACTGAAAGTACAATAAGCCCCACCACAGTGAATTGCCCTTACAAAGCTGTCCAGAACCTCTGCCTTGAAACATGGAATCAGTGAATTGAATTGGAAATGTCAAATTATCAACAATTAGCACTTTATTCCCCAGATAGTAATAAGGAACAAAATCTACTATTTTCAAAAGAAAGGTTAAGAAAATATAAGTCTTTCCTTCCTCTAGAACTATTCATTCTTCCTCCATATATTTATCTGGCAATTTTCTAGAGACATGCAGTATTCAGGTCCAAATCTGGAAAGCACGTGTTGGATTTGATGTCATTCCCCCCTCCCCCTCCCCCGGATTTCTACGGCTGTTCATCTCATGGCAATAACTCTGGACAGCATACAAAGTTTAAAGCAACAATTTAAATAATCCAAATTGTAAATGATGAAATCGCAAACAGCAATTCCAATTTATAGCAACGCAACATTAACCAGCAGAGATCAAATGTCTGGAGGAAGAGATGGGTTTTTAACACCTTTTGTTGGGGCCATCCATTATTTCCAGAGACATGTTCTTCTACAGAAGAACCACCACAAAGAAGGCATGACTCCTAAGTCCAACAAGATGACATTGTTTCATGGAAGGGACATGGAGCAGGCCTTATCTGCTAAATCTGGTGGGCAGGTGGCGACCTGCCAATAGATGTTTAAAAGAAGCTATGCCTTTTCTGGGCTTAAAAATATACATTAGATTGAAATAGACAATAAAGAATACTTTTAGGAATACCATACAAGTCTATAATCCTCATTCATGTTCACGAGGTGAACAAACCACCTCAACAGTTCTTTTGTGCTCATCAGTCACTTTTGTATTCAATCTACATTCCATCAGCAGTAATTCATTCTTAACCTATCCGTTCTTGTTTTACCACGCACACTTCACCCCACTGCATTCAACATTTATGTTTCTCTTGACATATTCCACTCTTCTATATGTCTAAGTGGGCAGAAGTACATTCTTATAGACAACTATTTTCATTTCTTCTGGCAAACATTCATTCTTTTCTACAGACTGCATACCACCCACATCCTTTCTACCAACATCTGCACATCAGTTTTTTTTCATCTGTTTCTCGTCTTCTATAAACATTCCCACCAAAGTACACAGGTTCATCTATTCGCTATAGTTTCCTGCCATTTATATATAATTTGCAATACTTAGGCCCATTTCAAGCAAAGCTACTGTGCTCCTTGATATATTTCTGAGCTGATATAGAGATAGTCCTCAACTTATGACAATTGAGCCCAAAATTTCCATGCTAAGCAAGACAGTTAAGTGAGTCCTGCCCCATTTTATGACCTTTTGTTGCCACAGTTATTAAGCAAATCACTGCAGTTGTTTAGTGAATCATGTGATCGTTAAGGCTTCCCCCACTGACTTTGCTTGTCAGAAGCTGGCTGGGAAGGTTACAAAGGGTGATCACATGATCCCGGGACAGTGAGACATTCATAAATACATGCTAAGTTGCCAAGCACCTCAATTTGAACTCAAGGGGATACTGCAACAGCCAAAAGTGTGAAAACTGGTCATACGTCACTTTTTTCAGTGCTGCCGTAACTTCAAACTATCACTAAACAAATAGTTGTAAGTCGAGGACTACCTGTATATTCTTCATTGTGTCACGCCCTAATTAAGGAGGAATATTGCAGGTATGTACCCAGGATGCAAACTGAAAGCACTTCCCAGAAATATCTCATTGTATATTAATATAATTAAGATTGCAAATAATTTCATCTTTAATACTATGATCAATGTATAATTAATATAGTCATATTGGGGTATTGTTAACAAATTGGAGGATATAATTTCTACTACTTCTCTTTCAACCCTTTTTCACGCCTCATTCAAACATTTATGTTCTAGTAAGAGGGAAGAGAGACAGCTAGTGTAGTGGTTAAAGACCCTGGGCTAGAAAATGGGAGCCAAAAGTTCTAGTTCCACCCTAGGCACAAAGCCCACAGGGTGACCTTAGGCCAGTCACCGTCTCCCAGTCCTAGGTACTGTATATGCCGGCGTACAAGGCGACCCGGCGTATAAGATGACCCCCGTCTTTGTCGCCGAGCCACATTCCTAGAACGTCGTCTTATACGCCGGAAACTACCAGTATTTCCGGTGTATAAGACAACTCGGCGTATAAGACGACCCCCGTCTTTGGCGCCGATTTTAGCGCTTGCGGAAGTCGCCTTATACGCCAGCATATACGGTATGTGGCAATGGCAAACAACTTCTGAAATCTCACCAAGAAAGCTGCAGGGCCTAGTCCAGTTGGTTGCCAGGAATCAAGACAGGTATGAGGACATGCCTGTCCCTATACCTCTCCCCTCCTCTCCCCAGAAAAGGTAAGACAGAAAATGGCCCTGCCACTCAATGATGTTTCTCTTCACTGGTTCCACCATTTTTCATAAGTTGGGTGGGCACAGGTCACGTACAGAACAAATTCCCTCACGCTGCTGGCATGAGGTTTTGATACACAAAATAACTTAGGAAGAACATTTCCGGGACTGCCTTTTGTGGAAAAAAGAGGGCTTTTCCTTAAACAAAACAGGCTAGCAGGATCAGCAAAGACACTCTCAGAACAGAACAGCCAACCTGAAGGCTGCAGCATCTCTTTTCTTTGCCTTAATTGCTACCTGGCTTGGAAGGATTCTTAGTCATGCCAAATGTGGGCAGAGTTTATTCAAAACAGCTTTCATACTAATGCTGCCGGTGTCTGTCCTAATCTCAGTGATACCAAAATTATGCATGGTGTGTTGTGACATCATGATGCAATCTCCATTCTTTTATGCTTGTTGAAATTGTACCTAAGAGGCATAATTTGCTTTGAGACATGTATTTTGTCATTTGCTTCCTGTACATACCTATGACTAATACATATCACCAGTGCTTTTTTTTCTAAAAAAAGGTTCCATCCAAAAAAAGGTGCCGGAATTCCGTTCTGGGCGTTCTATGAGAAAAAAAGCCCTGCATATCACACAACACTAAGAAAAGGTAGCTTGTAGAATATTTTTCTCAAATTTTGTTGCATCCAGAGATAGTATTTTCCAACTGCAATTTGAAGTTTAACTGTAATTTAAATTGCTTTTCTACTTTTCTAGTAGAGAATGCTGGATAATGATGCACTGGTCTTTGTAGTTTAAACAATCAATGATGATTCAGAACATCTGCTCGTTTATATATAGAAGGAAAAGACACAGCCTAACACACACAAGCATGCCTTTCTTGTACCATTAACATTTTAAAAGTTACATTAGGAAAATTCCAATATTGTTTAACATTAGAGAAACAAACTTTATAAAAACACTGCTTCTCTCTGATGTGAATCATTCCTTTGGAACTGCCAACATAAATATAACTTTAGTACACAATTTAGAGTAGTAGTACCTAGTAAATCGCTCAATTTGGTTCAGATATTTGGGTTTCTTTCTCCTTTTCTTCTTCTCCTTCTAGTAACACTACAAAATGCTTTTAGCCAAACTGAAATATTCCACTGAAGCCTTTAATATATATCTACAAGAGTCAACTAGCGTGAATATGCATTTTTGTGTGTACAATAGTAGTTCCCAAAAAGAAAAAAGAAACATCGGGTGAAAGCAGGGGTGTCAAACTCAATTTCATTGAGGGCCGCATCAGCACTGCAGTTGTCCTGGGGGGGGGGGGGCTGAGTGGGTGTGGCCAGGGTGGGCATGGCCTACTGGGTAGGCGTGGCTAGAGTGGGTGTGGCCTACTGGGTGGGCACGGCCAGCTCTACATCGTTCGCGTCAAGGGTGCCTGTGGGAGCCTGGGCAGGAGTGGGACAGATCTGAGAAGAAGAGGGTGGGACCAGGGCAAACGCCAAGGCATGGTCCACTGGAAGAGCCTGCTGAACCCCTCCCCTAGAGCCCATCAAGCCGGATATGTGAAGTAGGCGAGGGCCATTTGCTGGCCCCTTCCAGGCATTTCTTCATTCCTCACAAAGGGTGACACCTCCCCAGCGTGCACCGAAGGGGCGGGGCTGACGCGGCAGGGGCTGGTCCCTTGCTGTTTCCAGACAGCCTTGGGGAGCTAAAACTGAATGCGTTTCAGCATAGATGGCCACCACAAAATTGTACATTGGCTCCCGGGCGGCCAGGGCCGGGGCCAAGGCAGCGGGGGCCATTCCCTCACTGTTTCCAGGATGGCTTCATGGGCCACATGAAACCATGTCACTGGCCGCATCTGGTCCCCAGGCCTTGTGTTTGACATGTCTGTTTTAAAGGATAAATAGTGCAAATTAAAAAAAAACCAAACCCACAAAATAAAATGTAGCCAAACATTTTTACTTTTAACATTATTTTGGAAATTTGAATATATGCATTATTTTTTCTATTCCAGAAATAATAAGTCAATTGAATGAGAAGCCTTTGGACAAGCACAATGATAAATGTCCTCCTGTGCCACCCAAAAAAGCCATTAAATTCAGATCAACACTCAGACTCAAATCCCACCTCAGCTTGTAAGTTTAGAAGTAAAAGCCATCTCCAATATGGGAATAAAAAAGTCACTGAATGTACCATCTCCCCCAGCCACCCCCAGCCCCTGAACATACCAAATTTAATGGACAGCTCATCTATCATTCTTTCTTTGACCCTCTGGGGCTTTTTTTAAAAAATAAAGTACTATTTTATTATATGTTTTACCAAACCTAAAATGATACAATGAGGTCAAAGACTGAAAACCTACAGTATCCAGAAGCCGTATTAACAAAATCCTTTTTCTCATGAAAAGAACTAAGTATTTCCCTCAAATACAAACTAAGGGCAAGACCATATCACCATATCTTGGTCTTCACGTTTCCTGTATGAGCCCCAAGGATGAAATGACTGCAACAACCTACTCCTTTTTGAGATATGTTGTATATGGTGGGTGGTGCTGGATTTAAAAACAGAGCTTTTGTAAGCTAATGTATTTGTGCTAATTGTTTCCAAATCTATAGTAATTCATCCCAAATCTACAGGAACTCTAGGGATCACTTTAACTGAAGTCCACTTCCATATTAAAACATTAACCGTTAACCATGCCCTTCCTGCCCCCCCCCACCCCCCAAGCTTCAACCACCTGCAAACTGCATTCATCAAACATTGCAGTAAAAGGCTGCTATCTCATTATTTGGAAATTTTGTAATTATGCTGGTTCCACTACTTTGATTAAGTTACTATTTACTGCTGCTTAATTGCTAAGCTAAAATATCCATGACATCTTCTAAATGACACATACCTTTTAAGTAAACATTAAACTAACCTGCACTTACTAAGAAACATTCTGAGTCAAGATATCCACCAGCAATTGAGTATAGAGTATAGAAATACAGAGCTATGCCCAACAAATAGCCACTTTTTATTTTATTTCTGAATTTATATCCCTCTTCCTGGCTTCACTGTAGTAAAAGGCATCATGTGCCTGCCCTTGATAAGGAGGGGAAAATAATTACACTAATTATGGCACTAATAGTGAATACCATAAAAAATGAGAAAAAATAGAACAATGCTAGAAGATTACAATATATAACAGCAATAACTGAAAGCATTCTGTGGTTTCTAAAGATTGTCTCTGAAGAATAAGAATAGATGGCCATAACTTATGTTCATAAGGTTTTTTAAAATACATAATAGAAATCATGTTGAATTACAAACCACAGCCATTCCTGAAAGTTACTGAGGGAAAGTATTGTCAGAAGCAATAAAAGGGTAACAATATTTATATTACCTTGAACCATGAGCATTGGTTCTTTGCCACCACCATGTGCCAGCATTTCTTTCCGATAACGTTCACCCATTGCTCTGAAGGAAGAGATAGCATTATGGTTCCAATTATCTGTAATCACAACCAGTTCAATTTCACGTCACACCTCTCTCCAAGTTCCTCACTAAACTATCAAGAAACAAAATATCTAATTATTTAGATTTTACATTTAAAAAACACACGTGCCAAAGCACAAAAGCACTCACTAAATAAATTTATAGAGCACGGTAAGCAAATTTTAACAAATTAGTGGTTCCCTGTAAACATCCAGAAGAAATTAATAAAGAGAAATGGCAGCTCTCCATGTTCCTGACCATTTGACATGATGATTATAACTGATGGCAGCTGTACTTGAAGAAGAAACGAAGCATCACAGATTGCCCATTTTGGGTCCATGGAGGAGTGGATAGCTCACACATGGAACTTGATATGGGAATTATATATAGGTGAACCACCATGTTATCTAGACAGGTTAAGTGTCTGTACTGTAATAGAGATAAAATGATATAATCATATGGAAAAGTCCTCCTGCTCAGTACAGGAATCCAAATCAAAGCATCTCAGGTGGCTGAGAAACCTTCATTAATTCTCTGGGAGTTTGTTTCCACTCTGCTCTTACCATTCAGAAGTTTTTCTAATCCACTTTTCTGCAATTTAAATACATTATACTGTGTCTTAGACTCTGGAAGTTGAAGAAGAGGTCCTGACCACCTTCTAGATGACATCCTTTCATATATCGTCCTCATTAGTCAAATCTAAATATATTCATAGCCTTCGATCCTCCTTGCAAGCTTCACTTTGTAGTTCTCTGATCATCCTTGCTGCTTCCTCTGAATATGGCTCCAGTTTGTTTGAATTCTTCTTAAAGTACATTACCCAGAACTGAACATCAGATTTAAGCTGTAACTTGATCCTTAAAGAATATAGTAGAACTATTACTTCTCATGCTTTGGAAACTATGCATTATACTTCTATTGATGCACCTTCAAATTATATTTGCTTTCATTTGCAGCTTCAGTATGCTGCTGATTTGTATTCAGTGTGCAATCACTGAGCAGACCAAGGTTTCTTCCCCTCAGGAACTACTATCAAACTAGGTATCTTTTCTTAATAAGGGAACTGCTGATGGCTATCACAAATCCTTAATCTTTTAACTTTTAAAGCTAAAGGCAACGTCCTTAACTGCCTGCTCCATTGTACGCTACATAATTACAAAGTTTATTTCTATTTACAGCAGGAAAAACAGACAGAATTGACTAATCCGCTGTGTCCCCTACTTTAAGAAGGCCAACAGGTGCAGTGACAGTTCTCTATGGCTGCCCCATTCTTCAGAACACATAATTCCATGAGATATGCCTGGCCCCATTCCTTCCCTGCATTCCGTAAGAAACTAAAGAGAATTTTATTCCTTTGGTTCTGGGTTACCTTTATAGATATATGCATTTATTGTTTTTGTTCTCCTTTTTGTAAACTTTCCAGAATCTCCATGGACCGGACGATCAAAAAATATTTTAAATAAACTGCCAATGATTAAATTTGCATCATTCCAAATAGCCCAAATGAGATTCTCAGTTTAATTCATTTCTCAGCAGATGTGCGCAACAGAAGAATCCTATCACATCCTATATGTCTGCATACACCAGTTGAGGTTCCAAAGTGTTCTTCTTGAATTTCTCCCGTATCCAGAAGCGTAATGCATTTGGGCATGTATATAAACCAATGCCACAATAGGTCCCCATCTCAACTCAACTTACAATAAATGCTTTCCTCCTGGGCTTGATAAAAATATTGTAACAAGAAAAAGAAGAGCAGTATAGATGAAACAGTTCAATGATATCTGGAGGCTAATCAACATTTCTCTTTCAAAAAGTGCAGCGGTCTGCATTTCACTTCATACCTGTTGAATGGATCCTGTGCAAAGCACTGCTTCCATACCATAGATGATACAGCCCTAGACATGAGATAGGAATAGTACTTAGCACCATAACCCACAAGATGGCTGAATCGGAGTTGCCAGGCCTGTACAAGAAATGGAGTTTAAAAGGAGGAAATGGTAATTCTCAATTATTTTTGTTCTGAAACTAAAGTAACCATTTATAATTCACACATATGTACACACTGTATGCCAGTCACACTTAAACTAATTATTTTTATACAAAAATCGCTTTGCAAGTTAGAGATGCCATTGTATTTTATCTTCTATGCTGATAAATGAAATGCTGCAAATACAAAAAAACTTACAGTAGAGGTAGATCTTTGCTACCAGTCAAAGAACAACTTCCCACTTATCCAAATACAAACATGAAAATAAATTACTGTCAGCCCTTCAAAGTAGGCCAGGTCAGGGAAGACATCTCTCAAGGATTATGGAAATTCTATTTTATCACTGTAGGTTATAAAAACAGAATCTTGAAAGGCTTGCCAGAGTTTTCCTCTACTTCCTCTCATAGCAAACGAAATCATGGCTTCCTTCTTTCCCAGGACTGAATTAGTACTTTCTCTTACAAGTTCTAACAATTGTAATCTTCCTTTGTCAAGGAAATCTTTCTATTCCTCTGCAAATGTCTGTCTGTTAATTTTAATATTAATTGTCTGTAATGGATTAATTCGCTGTTTCTATTTTAAATACTGCTAATACCATTTCTGAGCAGTGTTTTAAAAGCCAGTAACATATCGCTAGGACAGTTGGTAATTTTAAGATGTGTGTTCATGCTGGCTGGAGATTCTGGGATTTGAAGTTCATACAACTTAATGTTGACAAGATTGAAAAACACTGCTGTAGGGAAAAAAAGGTTACCTTTGTTAACTGTTAAAAGTAAATTTAACAAGGAAGAGGGGTGGCTAAGAAATATGATATATATAAAAAAGCCTACTAGGGCATTTTGGGAATTTTTTAAGATGTCAGTTCCATTATTTCAACTTTGGATGTATACATATGCATGTTTAGTTTCAATTGCACTGAAAAAGTGATTTATAACCATTTTCACACTTATGATCATTGCAGCATTCCCATGTCATGTGATCAAAATTCAGATGCTTGTCAACTCGTTCGTATTTATGACGGTTGCAGTGTCTTTGGATCATACGATCACCTTTTGCAACTTTCTGACAAGCAAAGTCAATAGGGAAGCCAACTTCACTTAACAACTGCGTTACTAACTTAACAACTGCAATGATTCATTTAACAATTGTGGCAAGAAAGGCCATAAAATGGGGCAAACTCATTTAACAAATGTCTCACTTAGCAACATAAATTTGGGGCTCAATTGTGGTCATAAGTTGAAGACTACCTGTACACACCTATTGTATGCACCAGTACTAGCTAATTAATTTTGTAAAATAGAAAAATAGTTAATCAAAATATTGTTACTTTGATGGAATGCTGCACCATCGTATTATTTGGAAGTTATTCTCAATATTTCCAAATAAACTAGCACTCTACCCTGTGATAAAATTCTATCATTTTTTCTCAAATAGTCATTGGTCTTGTTTTTATAAAATGTTTGTTCTTATAAAATAAAGTGTTCCTTATGTTCTACCAACAAACAACTATTCTTTCTATAATTGCTTGCAGACTGCCTGAAACATAAAAAGAAAACATTAAATAAGAAGCATATTTTAGCTTTCAAATTAAAATCAGCATTTTTTCTCCCCACGTAACTTTCCTAAATCATTGTCTGATAATGTTTTCAGCTTCAACTTAGATTATTCCACTGGAAGAGCAAAAATATTTTGGCAGCAGTCTGTATACTTTTCCTCCGTTTACCTAGTCTTTTTCCCATAATACAAAACACAGAGAACATTTAAAATTACAATATGTAAGGGTTTTCTAAAAGTTTTGGTCTACAACAATCTTTTTCACCTGAGGGTTTAATGTTTCAATAGAGGAGAAGGAGGTTTAATGTTTGCTGTATTGTTTGAACAGAACCGTTTTTTCTCCTGATTATGAATTATTTCAAAAATGGACTAACAAAATTGTGAAGGAATACTATTTTTACAACTTCAGATTTTCCTCTCCCCCAGATGTCTGATAATGAGAGAATTATTTTGATTTTCCAGGAAGTGGTTTTCAAATGTTCTTCTTTGAGGAAGCTACTCTTGCTTGAGAACAACTATAGAGCACTGGACAACTGCTCAAGTTGAGCCTTGCCATCATCCCAAGTAAACTAACTAGACAAAGCTCAACCTGGCAGATTAATAAATTCCTTTTATTTTATTTTAGCCTTCCAAGAATACATATTTACCTGTGCAGTATGGCTCTATTATTTTTATCCTTCACATCTCGTCCACTATCTTCTCTTATTGCTATCATTATTACGATTATTATTTTGATATTATGATAATTATTACTTTGTTGTTTTGCATGTACACTGAGAGTTTATGCACCAAAGACAAATTCCTTGTGTGTCTATCACACTTGGCCAATAAAGTATTCTATAGGAATGTTACTACGTGCCTCTGAGATGCTCAGATGGAGGAGAGATCCTGCTTCTAACCCAGTAGGATTAACTCTTCAAGACTAATTGCTCTTAATACCCCATCCTCCATAAATTTAGCCAACCTCCTTTTAAATCTATCCAAGTTAGTGATCATTACCATATACTAAGTTAATGAATTCCACTAGTTAATTGTGCATTGCATGAAGAAACAGTTTGTTTTGTCTGTTCTAACATCTTGAACATGTTAATGCTCAGTTCCTTTTTTCCAAACTAAAGCGTTCCAGCCACCTTACCATTCTTATGGGTAAGGTGTTACAGCCACTTGATTATTTGAACTGTCTTCTTTTGTACCTTTTCCAGCTCCAAAAAGGCATTCTAAAATCATATAAAATGCTTCTATTGATGGCCCTCTAAAACAGAATGTGAATATGTCTTAGAAAAGCTCTACAGAAATTTTAGTTTGCCCAAAATATTTTTTAATGAACATGCATCTATTAAAATGTAAGATGATAAAATAATGTATTCCATAGAATTAATTTGTCAAGGATAACAAAAATCTCCTGATTTTGTTATCTACATAACTAGATAAGATTATTGGGGCTGAAATTTTACTTTTGAACTGCTTAAAAGTAGTTGTTGGAATTCAGACAGTGTACAAATGCTGACTCAGGAATTCTGGGAATTGAAGTCCACGAGTCATAAAAGAGCCAACGTTGCCTACCCCTCGTCTAGTGCTTTAATTAAGAAATTTATATGATAGTAAAATTTAATTAGTTGCCTGTCTCTTTAGAACACCAATATAATGTCACTTCAAAGTCTATAGAACCTATAGCAGTGATAACAAACCTTTGAGAGACCGAGTGCCCAAACTGCAACCCAAAACCCATTTATGTTTCATCGGGTGCTGGGTGGGTGTGGCCCATTGGGTGGGCATAACCCATTGGATGGGCGGGCCAATTGGGTGGGCATGGCCCATTGGATGGGTGTGGCTGTGGTGGTAACGGCACACTGGGTGGGACTAAAAAGTTCAATCAGTTCCAACTTTGCAAGAACTTTTTTTTTCCCGCAAGAAGTTGAAATTGATTGAACTTTTTTTTTTTTTTTTGCACACGGCGGTGGAGGCCTAAAGCGAAAAAGTTTTATAAAACCCAGCTGAAGGCCTAAAACTGGGGTGGACAGCGCACATGCCCACAGAGAGGGCTCTGCATGACACCTGTGGCACGCGTGCCATAAATTTGCCACCATGGACCTATAGAATTGGGTATGTCTAGTTTAATGAAGAGAAGGACAAGGGGGGACATGACAGCAGTGTTTCAATATCTCAGGGGCTGCCCCAAAGAAAAGGGAGTCAAGCTATTTTCCAAAGCTCCTGAAGGCAAGACAAGAAGCAACAGATGGAAACTAATCAAGAAGAGAAGCAACCTAGAACTAAGGAGAAACTTTCTGACAGCTAGAACAATTAACCAGTGGAACAACCTACCTCCAGAAGCAGTGAATGCTCCAACACTGGAAGTTTTTAAGAAGAGACTGGACAGCCATTTGTCCGAAATGGTATAGGGTTACCTGCCTGAGCAGGGGGTTGGACTAGATGACCTCCAAGGTCCCTTCCAACTTTATTATTATTATTGTTGTTGTTGTTGTTGTTATTACCTATGTTTGTGATAATGCATTAGTAAAAATTTGTTGAATTAAGATTTGAGCCTGGACTATAGAAAGATTTCCATTTACAAATAATATTCAGAATGCATGTCATACATGGAAGCAGGCATATATGTACCTAGTCCAGCATTTTCCAAACTCCATGAAAGTCATGTATGCTGTTTTGTGAAAAACTGTAACGAATGAGATGAATCACATCAGAGATACATGCTTTGGGGAAGTGAACCAAGGCATAGGGTATAAAAGCAAGATAAATTATAAAAAATACATTGTAAAAGGCTCAGAATTATTTCCAAAGAGAATTAAGACTTTGAAGATAGAGCAAAATTGGCTTTTAAGTCATCCTGTTAAGAAAAAATTAACACCTGAGGCCCTAAATCTCCTCAACTTTCTATATGTTCAACAGATCCCAAATTATAATCACTGCTTCCAACTCTACTACTGAATAAAACACTAGCATTTTATGATCTAGAAAACAAAATGGCCTGTTGCAAGTTGTTCCTCTTTCTAATTTTATGAAGGCCTTGTGAAGCCTGGCATTAGAAATTATTTAAGTGTTCTTTTTGTGTAGTTAGAAGTCTGGCATGTTTTTTGTTTGTACCCATTGTGAATAAGCAATTCTTTGTGTTAACTGTGATTTTTGAAATCTAGTTTTTAAAATTACATTATGCAGAGTAACAAAAAGAACATGTAATAACTTGAGAATGAAAGAAATATTTATCCTCAGGACACATAATAGTGAACAAAGTTCTGTGGTTGCATATTTGTAGACATTGATTTATTGCGTATTTTAGGCTTAGATTGAAAGTAATTTTGTACTCAGTGCTATTTAGACATACTTCATAATCTTCTGGTCATTAATATTATTACCTTTTAATAATGCAAACTTATGATTACCCAAAATAAATTTCACTGTGAGACTCAATCCCAGGTGTAGGGAATTATAACCTAAAATCATATATAAAAATAAATGGAACCCAAAAATAGAACGTAAAAAAAGATTTTAAAAGACCCATGACATTTTGAAAAGTGAGTTAAGTAAGAGATTAAAGGTTTCCATTTATAACGCTTCTCTGCTTTTATTAGCAACTCATAAATAAACCAAGTAGGACAAGAGACATAAATATTTTTGTAGTAGTTTATATTGGAAAAGAGGAAAGGAATTTCACATGCAGTTAAGCACTTAGGTGTTTTTAGAAAGATACCATATGGGTCTTGAATACAGAAATATACCAGCCATTATGGAGCACAGGACTGACATAACAACCAGTTGTTGGGATTTGAGAATCTTCACTGCAATTACTGAGACTAGTTATCAATATGTCCATTAGATCTCAATGGAACTTAATTCTGTTAATTCAGTAGGCTACCATTTGCCATGTGAGTCTGGGCAGCTTAGAAAAATAGTGACAGCCACCTGGGAGTCAGGAGCTGGAAGCTGGACCCATGTACTATCTATGCTGTGTTGTGGTGGAACAGTGGTTATAATGCAGTATTGCAGGCTAATTCTGCTGACTGCCAGCAGTTCAATCCTGACTGGCTCAAGGTTGACTCAGCCTTCCATCCTTCCAAGGTTGGTAAAATGAGGATCCAAATTGTTGGGGGCAATATGCTGATTGTGTAAACTGCTTACTAGTATAAGTTGAAGTGCTACTGCTATTGCTCTGCTAATTTAATGGATCTGTTTTTTAGTGTGGCTGCAGTTTTGTTTTCTGCTTTCTATACCTTAATATTTTTAATAACGTTAATCGCCCAGAGATATGACTTTAAGATGACAGTCATGTAACTTGAATTAACAAATAATAAGTTTAAAAAAATAAAAAAAACACCCACTAAAACAATGAAAATATCTTGTACTCGAAGCAGCTCATACATCCATAACAAATCAAACCAAATAAATTAGGTTCCCTTAACTTCCTGGCCCAATGCTGGGGGAAAATCCAGTTCTTCAATGCCTTACAAAAGACAGGCAAAAGTAGAGACCTCTGGGTCCCTCTATATGAAACCTAGCTGTGTCTATTTAGGAGTAAGCTTTACTGAACTCAATGTGATTTACAGTGAATATACAGCATTGCAATATTAATTTTCTCTATACGATGGTGTTATCAGTAATGTACCTGTTTAGATACAGAAATGAAAAGCTCTTCTTTGAAAAGTAGCCATGAAGATTTTGAAATTAATGTTAAATTTATGAAATGATCCCTATGAAGCAGCCACCACAGAGTTTTTACAGAACACTCCACAAAGAGGCTTATCCCATGTTCCACAAAGAGGCTTATCCCATATTCACTTCATGATCTGTTTCCTACATTCAGCTTCTTCAAGCTGGTTTTACCATGTATTTTAAGATGACCCTGTTCAAAGTACACATACTTAACTAACGCAGTAAATTACAAGCATTCCAAAACTTAGTGTTATTTTCAAAACTGATTCAAAAATGCAATTTTTTGAATTTCTGTTCTTGTAAACTGAAGTGATAACAATGCATATTTGATTCTAAAAATAGCCCACCTGCTTTTTATAAAATATTAACAACTCAAACAAACAAACAAACAAAAACCCTATGAGATTACATGTAATTCTAAAAGGTTCTCTCATTGGTGCATGTCAGAGTATATCTCTCTGGATATTCTATGAAGTGTACAATAGAACACAGGAAAAAAAAACAACTGGAGAAAAGGAAATGGAAGAGAATAACATTTATCCTGTGTTCCCTCTCCTTGAAATGTCTATAGCATCCCAAGTGGTTCCCATTAACTTTGATAGGAATTTACTTAATGGGAATGCACTAAAAGTAAAGCCGCAGAATGGGGAAAGTCAGGCAGTTCTTGAAATCCTAATTATGAGAATTTTAGGAAAATATAGTCATTAAGAAATCATTACAAAATGCTTAATAGGATGTTGAATATGCCACTAAAAGAAAATACCTTTTGGCAATTAATATGAAAATGACAATTGCTAACCTTTATTTTTCTTAATTTATGAGATATGCTACTCACAGTGTCAGGAACATACGGCAATCCATAAAATTTCTCTTGAGTTTCCTTTAAAATTTCTGTGGTTGACTTTTTTAAAGGATGTTTCCCATGGTATATTTGATCCAAGACAGCATAAAAAACCTAGACAAATATATTGATAGAAATCAAATGCAGAAATCCAACATACACACACATACACACACACAAACATACAGCATTCAGAATGATTAACCAGACTTGGAGCAAAATTTAAAAAAATAAGACTACAGTAGATGTACTTTTTGGTTCTTCTTCAAGAAAAATCATATTGAACAACTTACATTTACAATTATTTTGTTGATGCATTCAAGTTTTCAAAATGAATCCCATCTACTTTTATGGGACTGTAAGTTTGATCTTTAAATGATAGCATACTTTTGCATATAATATGTTTTTGTACATATTATATTCTTAGACTACGAAAATTTTACCCTGCAAGAAGTATGGATAAAACTTCTGTTATTTTATATAGCTGAAATAAATTATGGAATGATTTCTGAAATTAAGATTAAACTACAGGTTACACACATTTAGCTTACACATTTAGCTTAACACTGACTTAACTACATCCAGATATTTCAAATAAATCTAAGTAACCAATTATTAGCTCCAAGTTCTGTGAAAGTTGGCAGAACATTACAACCTGCCTTTGCTGGGACAAGTCATTTTGCTGGACATCTTTTTATTTTTTGCTCCAGGTGTCTGGGAGGCTATTAAATGTATCTGAGAACTTTTTAATTGCTAATTGTTTTTTTTTGTGGTGGGGGAAACAAAACTTAATACATTGGAGTGATTCAAGTATACTTTTAAAATATGACTTTTAATATAAAAATTAAACAGCAGTCCATCTATCTGCCTAATCTAGAAATTATTTTTCTGATATTAAAAATAAAAACTAAGCACCTTTATCATCATGGATTTGGTATTCTACATTTCCCAATATAATTATGGATTTGGAAGAGAAATGAAATGGAAATAGCGAAGAATTTAATTTACTATAATTATCTAAGCCTTGATATCCTGCAGTGACTTGGAAGAGACAGGCATGTAACCACAAATATGTTTCAGATTGTCCTCGTTCTTTGCAGGATGAGGTGGATGACCTAGGTATAACTCTTAATCCTCCTGCAATTTCCAATGAAAGCTTATGTCAAAAGAACTGTCTCTTTGCTCTTCCCCAAAAAAGTTTTTATGACTGTGCTATTATTACTCTTGCCCTCAAGGCAGTAAGGGCCAATGCCTTTCAGAATGGACTATTTTAAAGACAGCATATCTAGAGGACCAAGAGTCAGCATCTTCATTGGGACTTTAGGACACCAGATAGGTTCATTGACTGGTCAGATTCCTGCTATGTGTCATCATCATCATCCTATATTTTTTCCCCCAGGGGTGGGGTCCACTTTTCAGGTCAACAAGCACCATCTTGCCATCTTGATGGCATCATCTGATCCCTGCTATGAATATTGAAAAAAAAAGGCAGCCCAGGCATAGATACTTCCTCCCACCTTTTAAACTCTATCAGAGGTTCTCTAAAGCCAGAGCTTTGGGAACATTTTCAGATTTGAGCAAGATCCCCTCCTCCCCTTTAAAGTTAATGCTTCTTTAAAATTGCTCACAAAAATAAGAATCATTTCATGTTGTCATCAAGCTAATTACATGAAGCAAACTGAAGAGATTATTTGAACAAAGTTAATCTCCAAACAACCACCACTAGCAGAGTTAATGAGTTACATGGATTGGTTTTCACTCAATACCGGATGAATTGACTAAAATGTGGATTATGTGTTATGCATTCTCCCACTCTCAACAATGCATATCATTTTTTTTCACCAAGTAAAAAAGGGAGTTATTTTGATGTGATTTCCATCCCTACTGAGCTTGTAAAAATATTTTTTTACTGCTTAATCTCCTCAAAAGTTAACCTAAAGGTTTTTTCATTATTTCAGAATACACATGAAAAGTATTTTCATAAAAGAATATTTGATGAAACCTGTATTGAGTATTTTGTTGCAAATAAAACGAACTGTCCTTAAAATGAAAATAATGGAAGATGGGGAAAAAGTTAAGAATACATGACATAAATTAACCTTAAATAGATCAATTTAGGAAGGGAATAAATTAGATTTTTATTTAAAAACATGCATTCATATAAATTATGCTTTGGATAAAATAGGTTCATTTACTATAAATTTGTTCTAATTTATACATTGTTGTACACAACCCAGATTCACTTTTGATGAAATTTGATAAACACACAAATAAATAAAATGTAAACATTTTTAAAGGATTGTATCAGTCCTGTTTAATTTTTAATTTTGTAAAATAACAAAGTTAGATTAACAAACCATCTAAATCCACTCCTGCAATGTAAACAACCCTTTTCCTCTCCTCCGCAGATTATATTGTAAACTGGTGGTTTCCAAGATATTTTACTTAAGGGGCAAACAAACGAAGCTTCAACGCATTATATGATTACTTATTAAAATCATAGACAATGTTAAAATAAGATTTTTTTAATACTCCAGTGTTGTTAAGATGTTGCACAAACTCTACATTAATCAATTACATCTTACAATTTAAGACTAGTGGACTAATTTAAGCTTCGTTACAATTTCTAAATATATTTAACTTCACTTTGAATCAATTAACCTACCTGAAGTTGCATATCAGCAGCAGCACATACTTTTTTAGATTCACAGAGTCTTGACACCATGTTTTTAGGTAGTGACTTTAACAGAAAAAGAGAAGAAAAAGAGAACATGTTTCAAACAATTTTGATATATGATTAACAAAAAATAAATGCTAATAAAGGTAGGTTTATAAAATATCCTTAAGCTAAGAAGGAACAAAGTCTGGGTTTCTAATTGTTCTTTATAAAGAGATGCTTAGTTTAGCCCCACCTTGTTACCTTCTTATTACTGAAAGAGAAGTATTAGAACAAGTGGAAACACAACCAAAAGCACTGGAGAATAGAGAACTAAAAAAAATCAAAAACATATATATATATATATATTCTAAAATGTTAGGGTTGCATTGCCACCTGAGATGTTATTAAATTTCACTAAACCATATATCTTTTCAAAATATATAAACTGGCATTGTGCATGTTAATGTCTGCAAAGACCCCGATGCCTTTTATTGAGGAAAATGATGTCTTCTTTGGAAAAATGGATGGCTAAATGGTGGAGGCATGGCTCAATGTCTAGAATAAAATAGAATAACTTTGCATTTAAAAAGTAAATCTGATGTAGATTTTAATTTTAATTGGAGACCATTCTTGAATTACAATCTTATGCATGGAATCATAATACATAAAAAATGGACTTTATATTTTAATGTAATATAAACTTTACAGTACTGATTCAATATCTTTTTTGGTTATCTATAGTCTTTTTTTATTGATTTGAACTGTCTTAACCAAGCATTTTTAACTTAAAGCTCAACCGAGGACTACATTATCCAGGTGCAGCCTGCTACTTCTTAGGCCATGTAATCCTGCCTAATAAACTGAAAGCTTTTCTTAGCTTCTAAAAAGTCTTGGTAAATCTTCAATCACACCACAAACTTTTACATGTGAAATATATACAATATACTAAAGCAATACAAAGAGCAGGTCTGGTGTTGTGGCTAGAAATTGGTTGACCGTGAATTCCAGTCCCACCTTTGGCACAAAACCAGCTGGGCAACTCTTTCAGTCCTATGAAGGAGGCAGTGGCAAACCACTTCTAAAAATATTGCCAGAAAAACCAAGGGTCATTTATAACATGCAGTATAAGACAGACAGCTTAAAGACTAGCAGAGTATATTCATGATCCCCAATTAGCTGTGAGAAAATATGGCAAAAACTCCTTAAATTTCATAACACACAGACAGATTCAAAATCAATTCAACTGGGAAACTATTTGCATCTTAGAGCAAGCCAAATAAAAAATGCTAGGGAATTCCTGAAAGCCTGGCATTCAGACAAATCAGCCATTATTAGACACATAGAGATACCTACCTTTACACAGCATTCAAAAGACAATTTAAAAAAACAGGAAGAAAACAAAAAGACTAAAATATATCCCTTCCAGTATTTAGATAAATAATAATAAAAGTAAAGTTGGAAGGGACCTTGGAGGTCATCTAGTCCAACCCCCTGCTCAGGCAGGAAACCTGAAGAAAGTCTTTGAGACCGATAAAATGATGTATCTTATATATCATTGATATAGTCCTTTTATAGGCCAAGTAGTAGCTGATACAGTAAAGAAGCCAATGAAGTAAAGAAATAAAGAATGAATATTGACTCTGCCATGGATTAACTAAATTGTTAACTATCTTGGCTTATTTAACATTGACATGCCCCCTTTAGTAATATGGTTTTTAAAAGAAATCTGACTTTAATACATAGGCTGAGAAAGGATAAGGAATAGGCACATTTAGAAATATTTATTTTTGTTTTTTATATTAATAATAACAATAGTAAAGTTGGAAGGGACCTTGGAGGTCATCGAGTCCAACCCCCTGTTCAGGCAGGAAACCCTATACCATTTTGGACAAATGGCTGTCCAGTCTCTTCTTAAAAACTTCCAGTGTTGGAGAATTCACCGCTTCTGGAGGCAGGTTGTTTCACTGGTTAATTGTTCTCACTGTCAGAAAGTTTCTCCTTAGTTCTAGGTTGTTTCTCTCCTTGCTTAGTTTCCATCCGTTGCTTCTTGTCCTGCTTTCAGGCACTTTGGAAAATAGCTTGACTCCCTTTTCTTTGGGGCAGCCCCTGAGATATTGGAACACTGCTATCATGTCCCCCCTCATCCTTCTCTTCATTAAACTAGACATACCCAATTCCAGCAGCCATTCCTTATATGCTTTAGCCTCCAGTCCCCTAATCATCTTTGTTGCTCTTCTCTGTATTCTTTCTAGAGTCTCAACATCTTTTTTACATCGCGGTGACCAAAACTGGATGCAGTATTCCAAATGTGGCCTTACCAAGGCATTGTAAAGTGGTATTAACACTTCATGTGCTCTTGATTCTATCCTTCTGTTAATGCAGCCCAGTACTGTGTTGGCCTTTTTGGCAGGTGCAGCATACTGCTGGCTCATATTTAGGTGATTGTCCACTAGAACTCCGAGGTCCCTCTCACAGTTACTACTATTGAGCAAGATACCCCCTATACTATACCTGTACATTTGGTTTTTCTTGTCTAAATGTAGAACCTTACTTTTTTCACCATTGAATTTCATTTTGTTAGATAGCGCCCAGTGTTCAAGTCTGTCCAGATCCTCCTGTATCCTAAGCCTGTCTTCTGGAGTGTTGGTTATTCCTGCCAGCTTGGTGTCATCTGCAAATTTGATGATTTCCCCACCTATCCCCTCGTCCAAATCGTTGATGAAGATGTTGAAGAGCACTGGGCCCAGAACAGAGCCCTGGGGCACCCCACTACACAGTTCTCTCCATGCAGATACGGTTCCATTGAGGACCACACGCTGAGTATGGCCAGTCAGCCAGCTATGGATTCATCTGGTGGTGATGCTGTCTACCCCACATTTTTCTATCTTGTCAAGTAGTAGGTTGTGATCTACTTTATCAAATGCCTTACTGAAGTCCAAATAAATTATGTCCACAGCATTCCTCTAATACACTAATTTTGTCACTTGGTCAAAGGATGCAATAAGATTTGTCTGGCATGATCTATTTTTGACAAACCCATGTTGGCTTTTAGTAATGACTTTGTTTGCCTCTAGATAAGCAAGGATCCATACCAGGCAAACTATCAGGCAGAAAACAAATCAAGGAACCACCAAGGAAGAAACTATTTGGCCTGTTTTGCCAGGAAACTGTATGTAAACTGTATGTATGTTCTGCCAGGAAACTTGTATGTAAACAGGGAGCAAACCCCAACTCATTTGCAGTGATAATGCTATCTAATCGGGTAATGAATCAGCTGCAATAAATTCAGAGAGTACCAAGGACTCCACAGTTGCAAAATAACTGCAGGGACTTAACTTAAGTAACTTAAAGTTGCACACCCATACATACACACACAACAATATATTAAAGTCTATACCAATTATTATATCTGGTGAATAAAACAAATCAGCTGCATAAAAGCTATTCAACACAAAAAAAATTAAAGTGGAAGTGAAAAATAGATAAGGAATGTTCCTAAAAGTAAAGGCTTTTTTGCATAGTAGTCATTCAGGCAAGATTATAATTTTTCCATCCAAAAACAGTCATATAATTATAAAAATTTAGGAACATTAAATAAGCAACGCTGTAATTTTCTATAGCACCATTTAACCAACACACATTTGTTCCGTACAGTAGTAATGCAGCTCTTCTGGGCCTTATTCCCCAGCTTTGGATCCTTTGATTAGGGTCAGACTTTTTAACTAAAGAAATAGCTCTCTTCTCCTCTCCAAACTGTAAAGAACATAAACATACTCAAAAAACACAGACTTCAATGCCCGACCACACACAGTCCTAATTAACACCATACAGATGAAAGCTAAACAAATGGACACAATATTTTCTTCCTAGCTCTTCTAATAAAAGAAAGTAGCTGATAATTACTACTTTACCACGTAATCTTTTACTCCTCTGGGCTCCAGAACTATAGCCCATAATGATGCAGTGGTATGCATTGATTAAACAAGGATGTGGCAGTAGATATGGAGAACAGGCCTAAATTAAATACACATACAATACTGCATCATTGTGTTACAATCTACATCTTCACTCACACTGCAACATGATAAGTATGTTCAATACAAGAAGGGCTATAAGAGGTTCTAAATATTTTTGTTTTCTTGTTAAAGGAGGTTTATGGCATTTTTGGCCTAGCAGTTCTTAAAAGTAGGTAAATACAACCCTTAGATGAACAACAACACCTGACATATTATACCATGTCATTTATTTTTCCAAAAAGAAAGCCAAAATGGAGAAGCCACATGTAAAAACTAAGCAAATGTTATGATTCAAGAGCTTATAGAACAACCTTTAGCAGCAATAACGTGAAGTAATCATTTTCTGTAGGACTTTATCAGTCTTTTCACATTGTTGGGGAGGAATTTTGCCCCACTCTTCTTTTACAACATTGCTTCAGTTCATTGTGGAGTTGTGGGTGCTTTCTGAGCTTAGTTGTTTGCCTGAAAACATTTCATTACTCAACAACTTAACCTCATCAGTGAGAGTCTCAATCTTGCACTTATGTTACCTAGCTGGATAAAGAAACATCTTCAAGCAAACAGCCAAGCTCAGAGAGCACCAACTGCACACTCCAACTGTGAACTATATGTATTTTCTTCTTTCATGATTTTATTAAAAATAAAAGGAGGTGAACGAGCTCAATTATAACATGAAAGATATATGCAAGTCCCATGTTAAATTAAAGAAGATTGCCAGATTCCATGATTTGATCTTGAACATATACCTAACACTTTTTAGAAGAACATAAAATAACAACAACAACAATAATAATTCTCCCCTTCAGATATGCTGAATTTTGAGTCTAATTCCAAAATGGCAATGGCACTGGGTTAGGAAAACTGAAATTTTAATTCACCTGCAAAGCACTCAGCTGGGAGGACGATGCCTGAAAATAGTTTTCATGTTCAATTGTTCATTGTGCTGTTCATACTTGCTTTTGATATCAGCCTTCCCCCCCCAAAGGTGTTAACATTTTTTTTAAAAAAATGCAGTAGTGATCTCCATTATTATCTTCTCAGTTGCCTATTTGGTTTGAACAGCCA